CTGCTGCACACTAATCTGGCCCCTATTGAAAAGAGGTCAGCAGTGCACTGAGCCAGGTTCGTAAACAAAAGACAGTTATACAACACTGCACAATCTGGGCTCTGTTTACAAGGCTGCAGGCCTGGCTGAAATACTCCGGCATCAATGAAGGTCACCTGTCAACTTAGAGTAGTGCCTAAAGATTACTTCGTGCGGCTATAAACGACCGCTAAATGAAATGATGAATTTTTGAAGGATTTTGAAAACGGAAAAAATGAAAGTCATGCCGGCCCAGCATCATCAACAATGAAAAATGTCCCGGCATGAAGTGGTTAAAAGGTGCTCTGGGTCTATCATTTGGATCATTTCAATCTGACCTAAAAGATTACAAAAATTACAAAATGACTAGAAACTGAACTGGATTTTAAAATTCCAAGTATCTTTTCAACAGAAGCTCCTAGCATTCTGAATAACTGTGCAGAGGTCCTGCAGAGTCCATTGCTATTCAGTTCATTACCTTGAATTTCTGGATTCCTGATGACAGAGCCAATTTGTTTGAGAGCCTGAGCCCCAGATTTCTGCACCTTACTATGAGAATCTGTCAGTACCTCCATGAGCTTGGGTACAATACTTGGCAGGCAGGATGATAGCTGCTTAGGTGCACAGAATGCCATGGCTCCTAGTAACTCCACAGAACCTAGCGATCAACAGACAATTTGATGGTTTAAGTCAGAGTAACCTACAAGTTTTGCTTCAAAATATGGCAAAACGAGATTTGTTTGGGCAGGTACCTGTTTTAGTCCTCCATGAATCTTCTTCTAGTGCAGCTAGTAGTGACGGTAGTACCAGCTTGACACCATGTCCACTTAGCTTACTCATGACAGCTTTGGCTGTATAATCAGCTGCCTGCATGAGAAACACCCATCAAGTAAGACCTTATACAGTTAATGTTAATAGTAAAGTTTATGTTATACGGCATTGTTAAATAAATGAGATGCTTACTTGGTCCACTCAAACTTATATGAGCTTACTCTCCTTTGTGACATGTTGATCACAAGTCCAGAAACTCCGTAGAATGTGAAGAAAATAATCACATTTTGTTCAAACAGACTAGCTTACCTCTCTGACATACTGATTACCATCCCCAAAGCACAGTAGGAGATGAGGAAGAACGTGGACCACATAAGGTTCAAACAGACGTCCCAACATGGTGCACAGCATCTCAAAGGCAAACAGAGCTCCTGTTGTGATAAGTGTAAGAGTCTATTGTAAGAGTTTAATTTGAAAGATAAGAAGTTCAAATCCACTGACTGTTTGATTGTGCTTCACAACAAGGACAAAGACATATGGAACAAACTAGATGAGGAAATGTGTGATAGTGGTCTCACCACTGGGTGTTGTGATGTGCCTAGTGCAGTAGTAGTTGGTACTGCACACTCCGCTTTCTACCTTCAGCTGCTGCTGCTGGCTAGCCCCTTTTGGGGTGAAAAGGAGAGCTGAGAGCGTAAGTCTCCCTCTGCCAGTACATGTACATAGCCTCTCCACCACCAAGACACCTGCAGTGCCTCCTTGCAGTAGAACACAGTAACTGGGCATTTTCCTTTATCGCCTACACCTGATGAGACTGGTCCTGCATAGTCCAGATTCTGGTCAGTAGTCAGACTGTGCTCTCACCATCTTTGGCCGGCATACACAAGTGCAGCCTGACTGGTTTCGCAACAGCGTTGACATTCTGCTCCCAGCTAAAGAGGCCAAGAGAGCAGCAAGACTTCAAGTCGTCAAGTCACATACCTTCTCTACATTAGCTGTGCTTCGTGCTACAAAGTGCAATGTTCAACGGCTTGTTTGTGCTGCCCTCTACTATCATTAGTCCGGTCTCAGATCCCACATCCAACACTGCACCAACTCTGGTGATCTTTGTGGCTTATACAACAGTATTAAGGAGGTCATCAGTCCTGCCCCAAAGAAAAGTGCTCCTCTGCTCTCATTTTCTGGGGTTGCCCTTACTGACCCTTCAGCACAGCTTGACTACTCGGCAGAGCACTACAGCACACTCTATGGTACTGATGTTGAAATGAGCTCAGATGCCCTAACTTCTCTGCCACAGCTACCTGTCCTGCATGAGCTTGATAGCAATATACGCCTGCATGCAGTGGAACGTGCTATCAGCGATCTTAAAATCAATAAGTCCCCTGGTCCAGATGGTATCTCTCTCGAAATCCTAAAGTGTGGCGGCACTGCTCTAACAGCTGAGCTTAAGGTATTCTGGCTCAGCTGGCTCCAGTGCTGCCTTCCACAAGACCTGAGGGATGCAAAAATAATCACCCTGTATAGAAACAAAGGTAGCAGACAAGACTGTAACAAATACAGAGATGTTTCTCTGCTGAGTATGGCTGGCAACATTTTCTCATCGCTGATAGAGTCCTTCCTCAGAGCCAATGCGGATTTCACACATCCCACTCAACCATCGATATGGTCTTCTCTCTCAGGTAGTTGCAGGAAAGTGTATTGAACAATAATACACCACTTCACGTCATCTTTATCGATTTGACAAAGGCCTTTGACTGTGTTAGTCGGTCAGGCTTGTTCTCCATCTTGAAGTGCCTGGGCTGCCCAGACACACTGTTGTCCATCCTTGTGGCATTCCATGACAACATGCAAGTCACAGTCCAAGTCAGGGAAGTTCCCCATCTTATGCGGCGTCACACAAGGTGATGTGCTTGCTCCCACCTTGTTTGGGATTTTCTTATCAGCTCTCCTCCAACATGCCTTCCCTGAACCGTCTGCTATACTGCTTCACATTTGCAGTTCAGGAAAGTTGTTCAACCTCGCCCGTCTTCATGCCAGGACCAAAGTCAGATGCATCGTCATCCATGAGCTAAGGTATGCTGCGCTGCGCTTGTTGTCCACAGTGAAGCTGATCTCCAATCCTTGTGTGTCTCCCTTTGCCAACACTCACTCACATTTTGGCATGCAGATCAGCTTCGGCAAGACAGTTGTCCTCCCTCACTCCCCCTCAATCTCCATCAGGGGAGCCTGCCTGAATGTCATGGACGAGTTCCCATACCTCCATTCTATCATCTCCAACGTGAATTCCGTCGACTCTGAACTAAACTCCTTCACTGGGTTGGGCACGTAAATTGGAAGGAAGACGGTTGAATCCCTAAGGACGTCCTGTATGGGGAACTTGCCAATGCTCCTGGCCCCTGCGGCAGCCCTAGATTATGTTACAAGGATGTCCTGAAATGCGGCCTTTCCGCTTTCAGGATCCCACCTGCAACCTGAGAATCACTGCTGCGAATTGTACTCATTGGCGCACTGTCATACGCAAAGGCTGCTCCACTTCTATCTAGTAATACAAAGATGACTGTGAAAGATGCCGTCTCCATCATCAACGTTCACAGTATGGGCTATGATGGAATCATTGAGTTTATGGCACTTCACCCTCAAATTCTGTCTCTTGAATGGCTGAGAGCACATCATGTATTTGTTATTTTGAAATAAGTTTTGCAAAGCAAAACAAGTTCAGCGCATAAAGTATTATACAACGGCTGCCTGGTTCTTAAAAGCACATTAGCAAATACAGTTCCATATCTACTTGTGTGTGCATGTGCTCGTGTGCATTATGTTTGTTAAAGTTGGATTAGGTGGAAACATTTTCATCAAGGGGATGTTTTGGCAATGTAGAAGTGACTTTTTGTTTCTTTCTGACATTGAAAGTGAAGTACACCAGTGCAAATCCATAGTTTGGTTGATATCTTTAAAATTGCAGAAAATTATGGGAGAGGAGTTATGACAAACTAACTGCTGCCTTGCAGTGCAGTAAAACTAGCCTCCCTTAAGTGATCAGCAGGGCATTTTGTTTTCCCTAGCTTCGCCATCACAGGAATATAAATTACACAACAGGTTCCCAAACAAGTTGAACCAGTCAACACTTGTATAATAACATGTGAATCATTAGTGCAAACTCTAATGTAAACTAGAGGAACGTGGTTGTGAACAACCACTGAGCTGTTTCGGAACTTTCTGTTTGGTGATGAAGTCATCATGACGTCATAACTTTAGGAAAATTCTTTCATGGGGGTCTTTGTTGCGTGTAACTATGATGTTGATCAAACCTCTGATAATTGCCCAAATGGTGGCTTGAAAATGTGTACAAAGTCAATGGGCTGAAATGAATAGAAAAAAATCAATAATAAATCACTTGATGATGTCGTCGTCGTCGTCGTCAGCAGCAGCTGCAGCAGCAGCAGAAGAAAAAGAAGAAGAAATTTTAACAAAAACATGCCGAAACAGCTAATAAGCTTACCCTCTCTTCGTCTGAAATTCTTCTTATCTTGTATGGCCTCCTGCAGCGTGGACATGATATCCAGCTGTTTCAGAGACAGTATTCCAAGACCTTTGACAAGTCCAGCCAGTCCATAAGCAGCTCCCTTCCTCTCCCCATAGTTCTCTGATTCCAATAGCAATGTTAGGAGAGTTTTGACAATTGCTGGTGCATCAGATTTGATAGCAGGTACCAGAGGAGGCAGACAGTTGGCAACCGCTTCCTGAACCTACAAAGAAGTCCACAGTGATGTACAAGGTCAAATTCACTTTCCCGAGGTTTTCATCTTGCTAAGTGCAATTTCACATAAAAGTGGAAATCGGTCTTATTGTTTATAACCTTATTTTTTATTCAGAATTCATAAACAAGCGAAGTTTTTCAAATCATTGGGGCATTAGTGGTAATGAGTTCTACTTACAATTTCCACAACATTTTTAAAATTTTTTTAAATTTATTCATGTTTTTAATTCATTAACCAATAACTTTGAAACTTGACCAATTTCAACTTTTGCACGGAACTGCCCTTAACCATATGTTGCTGGGGAACCCAGTTTCAAGTACCTTTTAATTTTGTACGCATAGCCAGGGTGCCCAAAATTGGACAAAAGAGCCGGGCCTTGTAACAAAAGACCGTACTCAGAACAAAAGACTGAGCCACTGGGAATTGCCAACATTTTTTCAGTTGTCAATAGTGGAGGAAATACATCATTGTTTTGAAAGATTATACCACTGTTTGTGGCATTCAGTGCGAGCGGATTACCACCAGGGACAAAAGTGCTTCAGCACTCCACCGATGAGTGATACAATACCGCAAAAGAAACATATGTAACACCACAAAATTTCCACCCCCACATTAGTGTGGGTCGGGTCTACTAGTGATACTTACCCCTGCCCAGCCTACATATGCAAATTTCCCATGTGCCTATTACAATTCGCTGAAAAGATTTGATTATGCATCAGGTGAAGGTCCACCACTGGAGGTGATTGAGTAGGAAAGCTGGCCCACATGTAAACAGAAGCTGAAGTATTCATTATAAGAAAAGAATATTGAGCCCTGTTACATTGTACTAAGTACGACATGGCCATTTGTATCCTTAACGTTGAAGGACTACGGACATATCATTACATTCATGAGGAATTAAGATCATTCCATATGCATTGGAAGAATAGAAAAACTGCAGGTAAGGAACGTCCTAAGATGGAAGACAGCTCCATAACTACTTTTGTCCTACATTGAAGCATTTCCATTTTCTTGCTGGAATAGAGATCACAAGTGGATAAATGGTGAAATCAACAGATACTTGCTAAGCCCGCCTTTGCGTTTTGATTACGTAGGGCGCAATTGGAAAAGGTAACCGTGGTAAACTGTTAATGAAAATGAGCGCCGACAGTAGGCACACTTTTGTCAGACCTCGTAACAGTCACAGTATATACACTTAGGACACGCCCACTACAGAAGAACTCATGTCCAGAAAGCAATGTGGGGCGTGGCCAGGCCAAGCGGAAGAATATATGGAGAGTCGGGAATTATTAGATGAAATGTGCTCGAGGTGTGGATACTGAATTGAATGGCGTGATCAACGGTAAGAGATAGAGGGGGGCCTGTCCGGAGATCGCTGTTGATTGTTACATGCCTGAGTACCTCCGATGACGAAATTTCAGACATCGGAGGTCTCGATGGGTCTGCAGGTAGGGTGATGACATCTACCGCAGGCAATAGTGAACAGAAGATCTACATGTATGGTCAGAATAAAACACACGCGGTAGGCTGATCGTATCGCATTTTATTCACTGCGACAGCTCCATAAAAAAGTGAAGCAACACCCCGAGACCATATTTCTCTTTTTTCCACCTAGCTGGCCCCCAGCACGCGAGTCTTGGGTGCTAGCCAGCGGTTTGATGCATAGTATAGCGATAGGCCTATGAGCAATTCTTCAAGTCGCAGTCAGGGTTCAGCATGCGTGACCCAGATCACAATTACAAGGGGCTGCATGAGCAAATGATGTGAGGCGGCCCAGTAGAGTGTACATGTAGTTCCAGCATGCCTGGATGCCCCAAAAACTGGACAGATCAAGGCAGAGGCGTAGGGGTGGGGCTAGATGTGAGTTGTAAGTAAAACCTGGTTAAGTTGAAGAATTATTATTTTCATTATTACTATTGAAAGTGCAAATTAAATTAAAAGAATACATGTGTAAAAGGGGGCCGTTGTGTATTAAACAGACCAATGGGGCTGGAAGTGAAGCCGGAGATGAAACTGGATCTTAAGTCGGAAGCGGAGTCGGCTGCAAATCCGGAAGAAGATCCTCACACAGGGCATCTGGATCCGGGGCAGTCGCTGGGGAGTGGAGATTGACTCAAGGCGGCTGGCTAAAGCAGACAGCATCTCCGAGGGAGTGGACCGTCATCATCAAACCCGATGAAGAAATATCTTACCTAGGTGTAGAGCGAGGTATCTTGCATTTACGCTTCTTATGTGTGGTAATCTGGTCGTAGAACCCGAAGGAAGAACCTTAAAATCTGGAAAATCAGCAGTATGTCTGGAATGCAGGTCATGATAGGTCGAAGCCCGTCGAGCCGCCGGGGAGCTGAGATGGAAACACCCTGGTCGGATAGCCCTAGCAAGTAGCCAGAAGTCACACCTGAGTGAACCGCTATGAAGTTCCTCTGACAGATGTAGTTCATGGCGTGTGGTGGTCATTGTAGCTGGCACCGCAGGCATGGGGAGCCATACCGATGAATACACGTCTTCCACAGTAGGTGCTGGTAGTAGCTGAGAGACCGCCAGAGGACTTCAGAGCACGGGGACTGGGGTTGAATGTCAAAAGCCCAGATCCGGCTAACAGGGAAGTAAGTTTACTCGCCCCATATACGAAAATAAGCACACTTACCAATAGATAAGAAATCACTCTTTATTCGTAACAGAAATCAAGTCAATTCACAAGCGCGAAAGGTACGGAACTCGAAACTCTGAAAATGCCATAAGAGACACGTCCATAAACGATAGGCGCTGAGAAAAGAGGAAGAACATGGCGGCAGGATCGCAGTGCATTGTGGAGGGTCAAGGGGCAGAATGCATAATTAAGTCTTTTCAGTGAATTGTAATAGGAACATGGGAAATTTGCATACGTAGACTGGGCAGGGGTAGGTGAACGCAGGAAAGTGGGCTCTTTTTACAAGGCGGCAGGTGTAGCTGAAATACTCAGTTATCAATAGATGTTGTCTGTCAGATTAGAGTAGCAACCAGACAAACACCCAATGGGGTTCAAGCATTCAGGAAAGAAAGATAAGAATTTTGAAGATTGTTGAAAACATGCATTTTCAAAAGGCACCCGGCAGGAAGTGGTTAAGTGATATGAATGTACTACTTTTCGTTATATCAGAAAAAAATTCATGAATTGCCAAACCAATGTAAATTGTATCTTCACTTACAGAATTTCAGTGATTTTAAAGTATGTAGTTGAAGGTCTAAAAGATTGCATAATGTTCTTTGAAATGGCTTGTAGCAGGCTGGGCAAGTTAAGCATTTCTTTGGTTGAAACTTGTATCAGGGCCAACAGACTAACTCTCAGTAAGTTTTTTACAGTTTATTTAAATAGCATTACAGCAGTACACTGCTACTAATGCAGTTATAAAATACATGCAGCAGCTCCAAATTAGAAAATGACATTTTGATTCTGGTTCATTTACACTTGTTTATTTGTGTCATACTAAAGTCTCTTGAGGACAAAATGTTGCCATTTGTGCTAGGTACAGGGAAGTTGGGGGTTCATGGTTTACTCCAAAGCTACTCCAAATAATGTCACATACTTTATAGTTAACACACTTTGCCCTATTGCATCCAGTCAATGATGCACTGTTTACCTGTTGGGAAGGTGTAGATAGAGCTTCTATCAACTTGGCAACAATTGGCTTGACCTTTGGGTCTGATTTGTCCAGATGTCTTGCCAGTGATCCCATCAATATGACCACACTGTGTCGCACTGCATCGTAGGATGAGGTGTTAGGTGCTTCATCAAGGAACTTCTCAAAGACTGGAAGGAGCACGGCTACATTGTCCTACAATGGAAGAGGAGCAGAGATATACTGTGCTAACTATTGTGCAAAGAACTGGCCTATAAGACTTCTACCATTACAGAACCTCCCTGTGTTCAGTCGTCATGAGGAAATGTGGCTACTTAGGATTTGTAACTTCCAAATACAGTCAACAAGTCACAAGAATTATGGACAATTCACATAACGCTAGTCAGGTAATCACAACGGCAAACTGGCCAATGATGTCCAAGTCTCGTGTGGTAAGCATGTGTGATGCATCCAGACTGGCAAGCGATAAACCTTGTGCCATGGCAGGATATTTGTTGAAACATGCTCGCTTCAAGTACGAGCAAAACAACCTCAAATTAACCTCATGAACACAGAAAATACATACACAGACATGAGACCAAGTTCTGTGAATCAACTTGCAGAAATCCTCTTGCAACATCGATATTTTTTCAACCTGCAGCTTTAGGGTTGCGTGTGTGTACAGCCAATGTAGAGTAATCGACCGGAACGTACAGTGCATGTATGGACTGGATGCAACATTTCCATCACATGTTCTTTTGCATGGGCGCGGCACGGCAGGAATCAGTGCAGCTTTGTTTAATGCACTGTGCTTTGCTCCAGTTTTCACCTCCGCGACAGCAAAAAAACAAATGGGAACTCAGAGGTTTCTTTTCAAAATGGCAAATGTAAGTAGGAAAACATAAAAACAAGCATTTAACGTGAGAAAAGTTTGTTGAAAGGTGTTTTGTGAAGACAGAAAAGACATAAGGATTTGTTTTTTTATTTATTTTAATTTGTTATTTCTTTTTCTAACTTGCCAATAAAATTTTGAGCTGTCTGCACCTGACACAGCAGCAATCAAGCTGCATACTCCCCATGGAGCTGAAATGGTTACAGGAATGTTTAAAGGCCCAGTGAGCAGAAGGAAAAAATGACACAGTGCTTTGAGCACCAGTATTAGGGCTGGATATGTGCGCTTTATAAAACAACTACGTATGTTGTGCCCTGATTGGTACATTTCCCACTTTTGTTCACATTTCTACATTTCAACAACCCCATGATGTTTATGACATGTCTTACCTTGCCATGGTTGTCTATGACTGCTGTTGCAGCCTGCAGCATGACTTGACGAACCTCCTCATTACGATCATTCAGACCCTCAGATACAAAAAACTCAATCATCTCCAAGACTTGGCCCTTGATGAGGTAGGGGGATATCTTGCCGAGGGCACCGCCAATCCCACTGCGGGCTGGGTACTGGTCGGGTGGTGATTCTGAAATGACACGACCAAGGCTGTCCAGGACAGGTGGAGGAATCTGAAGGACAATATACAAAGAGGAAATGAGAATGTGTGTTATATTAAGGCTTTGAAATGAGATGGTACATCCAATTAGAGTTATTATAGTGTGTTCTGTCCATAATTTTGGACATTGCTTCTGTGCAAGAAGTCTGTGTCCTGTATATCAACATTTTGATTACACATGTTTTGACAAGTATTTTTTTTAAGTTTTTCATTTTTTTTAACAGGAATTTGAGCTTTTCTCAAAATGTAGATTTTAGACATGCCTTATTCTAGCTGCAAGTCCTCCATATTCAGATAAAACTTGGATAACATACTCCATGCCATATGAGTTGAGGTAGATCAAGCATTTTTATAAAGAAAAGGTCGGTAGACAACACTGTAAGTACATTATCAATTGTCAATTGTTTTTGACAAGAAATCCCAGAAGGTAAATGAAAATAGAATTATGCTCAGAGTGGCCAAAGACAGAATGCATGCAGTAAAGGTATTTAACTAACATGTAGTTTGTCTTTATGGAGTTTAAAGAGCTTTGTCAGCGTTTCCTCCACATATTCTGGGTATTCATCGAGGAGTGAAGCAAGTGATAGTGCAGCTGACTGACGAATTACATCCTCAGTGTGAATGACATCTTCAATAGTCAGGGAGCAAAGGTCACGGTCAATAACGAGACCTGCTTCATTCCACAACCTGCAAAACCACACAGCAATAAGAGTTATGTCATTCTCTTGGGCTCAAGTAGAATTTGTGGATCAGACAGCACCTGTGGCAACATCAAATTCATTTTATAGTTGAACAGCCTTTCCATAACGAAGATGAGGGTTAAGAAGAGATTTGAAATGCTGAATCTGACATCTGAATGTGAAATGCTGCATTTGAAATACTCATGCTGAATACATAAGGGCTTAGTTTCCCAGTGATGTGGTGTAGTCACGGTATAGGGTACGGCCTTCCAAAAGACTTTACAATCAGCAAACATCTTATTCATGTGTTAGAAAACATCAAGCTTTACTTTAGAGTTTGGCCCATTATATGAAGAGAAATTTGTGTTTTGTTGTTTACATTCCACAACATATTAATAAAGTAAAAGATCTTTTGCTCCTTCCAACAAGCTTAAATGTGAAAAATGCAGCCAAACAAATGAGATCTTCCTGATATACCGAAAACGATAAAAAGGACATGCAAACTTTTAAAGGCACAAAAAAAGGTCATTTTAAAGCAACATGACTTTTGACCTTGTGGAATTGTAGCAAATCCCTGCTCATACATCATTTTGACATGTCTGTGCAATATTCAAACCACTTTCAGCAGATTCTTTTCAGACACACTTTGCACAAAACATCCCTTGTGGCTTTGAATTATCTATTTTCATGTGATTAACCCAAGCACAAATGTCTGCTCTTTCAGTTACAAACATTTTTCCAACAACCAAATAACGTTTCAAATTACCTTTTCATGCCATAAAAATATGCCACATTGTAAAATGCTCCATCAAGTACTACTCCATTAAGCAACTATCCTGAAGTGTCCGTGTTTTAGATAAATTTTAGGTTGAACATTTCTTAGATTGTCTCACATGAATTAACAAGGCATAGTTGCTATTTAAATTTCATCAAAGACTTGAACCTAAGCTTTTCTTTTTGGGAACTAGGCTTAGAAATGTAGCTTTCTGAAAATATCACAAAGAAATATGGACGCTGAAAATCATTCCAAGCCATTAGTTCACAAAGTGTCCAGGAAACACCTCTTACAGACATCTTTACTTTAGCAACTAACTCTTGCTTTGCTTTCCACACTAACATTGCAAGCCCCTAGACTGGATGGTTTTACATTTCTTCCACTTACTCATCAGCTAGCATCGTGACTGTGTCTTCTGGATCTTGTCTGGCTATGAGAACCCTATGCATCAGATTCAATGCATGCTCTCTGTCTGTATCCATTGTAGGCAGGACTTCATTCAGTTCTCTCAGACCCTAGTAACAAGGAAGAACTTTGTTTACACATTACATGTATTTACAGTTTTGGCTGCAGTCTAAATGAGACCCTAGTCTTCCTAAACCTAAGTATGAAAATTCTCAATATGAAATATAAACTCTTAACCATTCTGTGTGAAGACAGGATTGTGTGCATGACACTGTGAAATCCTTGACAGATATGTAATAAATAGACCCAAGGATTCGTGCTTGGAACTAAGTAGTCTCATAATTACTCTTACTATGCCACTCCTTACCTTGAGAGCAGCTTCCCTCACAGCAAAGCAAGGAGACTGTAAGGCATTTAACAAGACATCAATCTCATCTTGTTCTGCTATAGTGCATCCTTCCATGCCCCCGGCGCTATGACACAAATTGACCAATGCATTGGTAGCTGTCTGCTGTAGGACAGGTCCACTGATGCCAATTAGATGAGTCAAGAGACTCAGCATTGCACAGCGTGGGAGTAGTTCTGGACCAGTCTGGCCAAAATGAAAAGGTAGATAGTCAGGCATTTGGATATCTTGACATGACATGTGCAGACTAGAAACAATAAAAGGTACAAAGTGAGAATTTTCAAGGAATGTATCATATCTTTGATGAATCAACATTTCATACAAGACTGCTGCTGAATTCATTAGATTTTGTAAGTCCCTATTCATGTGACCGCATAAATTTTGTTGGTAATGAAATTCATAAATGTTCATGGCCCAAACACATTCCAATATTAAAGCCTTTTGCAAGTTCAATTTGAATAAAATCTGGTACACTGAATTATCAGATTGCACGTTAACATTAAGACTGTTGCTACATCTTGATAAGACTGTTGCTATACTTTATGTCGTGATTTGGCGCAAGCTTTTGCACAGCGACCACCGTCTCTGGAATGGACTGGTTCCTTTGTGCCCTTCTTATCCACTGTAAAAAGTATATTGTTGCAAGGCATCTCTTATGTAACTAAGCAAAATCTTGCCCTAAATCAGGAGATATAACAACAGTGCCTTTAGTATAGAGAATTCACAATGTTATGTTCAAGCGTAATGCCAGAAATTAGGGGTCCATTTTTTTGGTGTCCCTGTGACATCTTACACATGATTTTGTAAATTCAGAACACATTTTCTAATTTCCAAGAGTGATGAATTACATGTAATGTAAATTACCTGCCAAACAAATAGTAATAGTTTGAAATCAATTCCAGTGATATTTCCATGTCAAATAAGATAGGTCAGATGTAACAGGGACACAAGAATGTCACACTTTTGGATCCCTAATTTTTGAAATTACCCTTAAGTGAATTTAAAGAACAAGATTTTATTCAAATTTAACTCGCAAAAGGCTTATTGCAGGTCAATGTTCCATGAAGTCGTTGGTTTCACCACAAAGTGACATATCATGGATAGTTGCCGCACCACAAACTGACGTACATGTATTGCGTGTACAAAGTCAGTGGATGGTAATCACTTCGTGGTGCACCAAAACTATCCTATACAGTACGTCACTTCATGGGGAAACCGATGAAGTACATGTATCGTAATATACAGTACACACACTAACTACCAGGCAACAGGGCAGTACAGCAAAGCATGACACCCGCCTTCAATCTTAGCATCTACATGTAGACTCAATAACATGTGACAGAAGGGGCTGCATGTCTACTTGTTAGGGGTACCATTCTAAAACCTTCATGCTCACTGAATTATGCTGGAAATTATGTGGCAGAAATAGTAAATTGTGTGGACTTTTAAATCAATTGGGATAAAGGCTAAGCACAGAAGTTCAGAACACTTAATTATACCTGTGGAACAGGAAATGTAAAATTTATGGAATTTTAAATCTGTTAATATGAAGCTAAGCACACAAGTTCACGTAGCCCGTGGTTCACATTTCAAAAAAGCAGGAACCACATTTTGTATAAATTTCAGTCCCTTTTGAAAAAACTCTTGACCTTGACCTCACACAATTCAGGCTTTACACACAAAAGAGATTTTGCTTCATTAGAAGGAACAGACAAGCCAATCAATATGAGAAATATGAAGTAAATCCAGAGAACACCTATTCAGATGGCCATAAATTAAAATAGGAGATTTACAGAAAATTCAAGATCCAGTTAAGTTAGAATACACTTTGAGCTCAAGGAAAAAATGGCGCCAAAGTTCTAGATGTAGAGATGAGTTGCGACGAGTCGTTCCAAGGTGGGAGAACAGGAGTCTGTCATATTGTGTAGCCAGTTGGCAAAAGTGAAGAGCAAAAGTTCAGCAGAAGAAATGTAATGCAAAGGAATACATGCATATCTTGCAAGATTGATGCTGGTGATTAATGCCACAGATGCCTTGGTGTACTTGTGCTGTGTCTGCAAGTCACAGTAGCTCAGTGGCTGGGATGCCAGGGGACAGCTCTTCAGGTGGACTGCAGAGACTCTCCTCCAGACCATCTTTCAGAACATGGAGTTCAGTAACTAAGATAGAGAGCCAACACTCGTGAACATAAGGGGAAGACTTGGAGGTTGCGGTCCTCCGGTTCAAAGAAAAATGGTACAGAGCGCAGACAAAATTCGGCAGGCTTGTAGTCAGCACAATGGCAAAGTTTGGAATGCCAAGCTTGCCAAAACTCTGGGGCAAACTGCCAGCCAGAACATGCCCTTACCACATGACTAGGTCAGGCTCTCATTGGACAACTTAAAAAATGTCACACATGACTCCAATACTTATTGGTCATTTAGTATCTAGGCAGATGAACACTCAGCAGAAGTTTATGGCTTTCACAGCTTGGAGTAAGGTGTGAACAACAACAACTAGGGATTAAGTGTCTCAACATCCTGCTGATCTCCTATAAAATTTACTGGGAGTGTACACACTAGTGTACTAGTCAAAGATTAAAGGCAGTGGATACAAAGAGCATTCTGTGATCTCCTAAGAAAGCAGGAACATTAAAAATAAACTGAAGAAAGAGAAGGCTACTTGACAAAAGGAATGGGCAATAGATCAAAGGTTCACCACTGGAACACTGCTTACCAGTAGAAAAGTCAAAACAGTCATAAAAAAATTTTTTTTAAATTGTAACCCAAAATCTCTTTTGGGATACGGTTACATTCATAAAACTGATTTTGACTATGTTCCATTGTGAAGTATTGGGACGTTATCTAGTGCTGCAGCCGAACCACCGAACCAAACCAAAAATCACTGAACATGTCATCTTTTAACTGAACCTATCAAACTGGTCGGTGCAGATATTTGGCTTTAATATGGCATGGCATCAATAGTGCACGGAATGCATGCCAGAAAACTTCATGAAAAGGCGAACACAATGAAAAATGGATAATGAATCAGGCTGTACCCACTCCTGGCAAGGCACATGTGTGTGTATACATGTACACTGTACATGTGTACATGAAGGTGCGCACATGAACATGTACATGTACACTAAACTTACCATGGCCCCGCATCACACGATGGTTGTAAAACCCATGTGGTGAGAATTTAGTAATTATCAACCAAGAACATGCAAGGTATGGTATTCCTGCTGAATAACAACTCTAAATCTCACATCCACTTGTGCTATGTATCCAGACAAGCACTATGTATGCCAATCTCCAAGAACCATGCCCTTATATTCCATATTAGGCCAATGATGTCATAAAAGGCTGTCCAAAACTAATTTTGATTGGATGCTGATCAAAGTTGGACTTGTGCTGTCTTGTAACTAATGCAGTTCTAGAGAAAGAGGGACAAAGTATGCATTCTCATGTGCTTTTGCAAATGCAGTTAATGAATAATAATCTCAACACCACACATCACTAGTTCACATATGTAGAGTGGCGTATGGCCATCTAGGATGTGACCAGTCACCTGCAGCAGTATCACACAGCTACCCGTAAACTGGACAAGTAAAAAAAAGCTTGTAATACGTAGTAGCTGGTACATCACTGGATTTATGAGTAATCATTCAAAAGATTTTGAACTGTTAGATGCCATTAGTGCATTGTTAAAAGTCACCTTTTAAGCTGTATGCAGGCGCGCAAATGCAAACAAGCAAATTCATTCATTACAGGACATCACTTCCTTTCAAGGTTTGCTTAAAACACAACAAATATATTGAAAAGCACAGAAAGTTTGGCTATAATGTTGTAGTCCGAACTATACTATACATACCATTTCCCCATACTGATCCATTACTGTCAATTTTTGATACATCAATCCACAGGTGAAACGTTTTCAGTTAGAGTTTTTGTAAACTACATCATAGGTCAACAGGTGACACATCGTTGATAAGAATTTTAATTACTACACTATTAGTCAATCAGCGATATATTATCCATTTGTGACACATTACCCGTTGGCCAGTACATTATCTGCTGGCTAGTAAATTATCTGTTGGTGATACATTATCTGTTGGCTAGTACATTACCTGTTGGGTAGTACATTATCTGTTGCCGATACATCATCCGTTGGGTAGTACATTATAGTTCATTATCTGTTTGTGATACATTATCTGTTGGTGATA